TCTTTGTAATTTTAGAATGGAATAAATAGATAAAATGAAAAAAAAAAAAAATGAAATGAATTAAGGGGATGGCCGTAAGGCTGGTTCCACTGTACTTTGACAAATGTTCGTGGTACAAGAAAGAAGCACTTCTTGTTAAGCTAGCTAAGCATTTTTTATGATGAATATTTTTAGTTTTTAACCTTTTTACAAGATTGTGTTTTTTTCCTGTCGCAGGTGGAGACAATCGGTGATTGTTTACTTGTAGTGTCAGGGTTACCAGTCAGGAATGGTAATCGTCACGCGGGGGAGATCGCAGACATGGCGTTTGACATACTCAGTCTCATGACTCACTTCAAGATCAGACACAGACCCCGGATGAAGCTACAGCTCAGGGTTGGATTGCACAGCGGTAATTGTAACAAACGCTAACTTACCATTACTACGTGAACTTCTCCTGCTTCGGCAATGTTTTAATACGTCTTTGGGAACGATCCCAGATGCACTTCCCAAGCTAATTCGTGGTGTAATGCTTTTTCAAATTCTTGCCACGTTCTCTTACATTCCACTCAAATCGTTGCAGTTTTATTACCGTCAACTATATCTCTTTAGCTTTGACCCAATAGTGTAGTTTTACTACTCGGGGAGCAGGGATGGCGCAGTGGTGAGAGTGCTCGCCTCCCACCAATGTGGCCCGGCCTGGTGCTATATGTGGGCTGAGCTTGTTGTTGGTTCTCGCCTTGCTCCGAGGGTTTCTCTCCGGTTTTTTCCGGTTCTCCTCCCTCCGCAAAAACCAACATCTCCAAATTCCAATTCGACCAGGATAGAGGATCCGCTTGAGAACCAGCTAAGGCTGATGTGATTTCCTCTCTAAATATTGTAATATTGGCAATAGATTTGCTCATTAACTGTTGTAGATGCGCATGTAAAACTGATTATGCCGTCGCATCAACTGTACATCCCATAATGCTTTATCAAACTCACTATCGTTTCCTTACCAGGCTCCTGTGTGGCGGGTGTGGTCGGAATCCACATGCCTCGTTTCTGCTTATTTGGCGACACAGTGAACGTGGCATCGAGAGTAGAGACCACTGGCCAAGGTAAGAGGCTCAAGTCTTCAACAAAGATGTCAAGGGCATTTAATGATACTTTAATTGAACTTTAATTCTCCGACGCGTGCGAAACGCAAAACAATGTTCGATGTCAGGCAGGTTATCGGAAAACAAAAACGTTGGGTAGTAAATCTCTAATAATAATAGGGCTAAAAAACAGACCCAGTATTGGAAGTGAATATATGAAGGATTATATATTTGAACTGCGGAGAAAGATATGAAGACATGATTGATCAGCGCAGTTATACACACCATCGCAGTTATATACACCAGAACCAGTATTGATTGGTCAATTTATATAGCGTATTTGAGACTTGAGAGTTTCTTTCTCGAGTCAGCTTTGAAATGGTATTTTTACGCTCTCATGATATGCATTTTAAGAAGAGATAAGTTCTCGGCCAGTGAACTAATTTTCTTGGCATCTGTCTTTATTTTCATCATGGATTGAATACAAACAAGGGCAATTGGCTCCCAGCCCCAGTTACTCGAAGATCTATTCAAGTTATCTTAGCTGTGATGTCCTTTTCAGCTCTCAAGATTCACGTGAGTGAAGACTGTTACAGGATCTTGAAGGAAATTGGTGGATACACATTCCTCAAGAGGGGCGAAGTTTACCTCAAGGTAATTTGAATTACTGTATGACTGACTTTGCAATGGAAGGCCAGCAACCTTCGGTTTACTTTCAGTGGCATTACTTGCAAAACATTTTGGACGATTTTAATTTCGGACAAAAACAATTTCCGAAAACAAAACCGTGCCAAATTTTCAAGCGTATAAAATTTTGAGCGTCCAAGATATTTACAGAACAGTATAGAACTTTGAAAAAGCTTGAAAGCTCTTAGTTTCTTTTATGCCAGGCTTTATGCAGCGAACTCTAGTTGAGAAACTGTTTGAGTTATGTAACGACTTGATAGAATTTGGGTTATTTTCTCGTCATTGGAGTAAAGCTGTCATTTTCAGAGCTGTTGTGTCAGTTTAATTCGTGTTTTGCAGGCGTGAATTTACTTTAGCTATGTTTCAGCTTAGTGTCCGAAATTGTCGGTCCGAAATTTGTCCAAAATGAGATAAAGAGTGTCCGATGATAAAACGTCTGAAATTTTTATTGTCTTTCTATTTAGAATATACATCGCTAACAGCGGCCAAACAACTCCAGTTTACTGAAATGTTGTGTATGAATTTAAATCCCTTTATTTATTTTGCACAGGGCCGTGGTTTTTGGAAAACATACTGGCTAATAGGCAAAGAGGGATTTAACAAGCCGCTTCCACACGCCATGACGGCAAACTCAGAACCGGCCGTGGAGACTTTAAATATTTACTACGCAAGTTAAACTGCGTTCTACCTAAACCAAATAGTTTACAGATTTTTGATGTATTTTGAAAACAGATTCAAACATGGGTGGCACGAAATCCAGTCATAAAGAATTTCAGTAAATTTTCACTGAATATTAATTCTGGTTAAAAACCTTCCAGTAATAAACTACTTAAATATATGTAAGCCCGAGGGCTTTGACTAACGGAACACATATTTTTTAAAATTGTCAGCTAATAGCAGCCTACAGCGCGAAGTTTATTTGAATTTTTTTTCGTTACAATGAGCATGCTGAATTTTGATGTTTATCATGTGTTTGACAAAGGGAGAGCTTGATTTGTGTTCCATTTAGTCAGAGAGTTTAATTTTAAGCATTCAGTTTTTTACGTGTGCGTACAAATGTTTCAGAAATGTTTTGAAGCCTACTTGCAAGTAATGGCTGCGAAGAAGATAAAAGTTGCTTTGGAAAGGAAAAATACCCCCTCCCCCTTTTAGGGCCACCCGGCAATAAGCTCAGAAAAAACCCTCTGAGTAACAAAAAGCCCAGGAATTATTAATGATATTTTGAGATACTCACAAATCTTAAGATATATACCAAATAGCTTCTCTGAACAAGATTCAATGAATCTGATAATTAGATCATAGAGAATAATGTATGGAATATTGAAACGTCACTGCTCTCTCTAGCAATGGACAATGAGGAGGGGAGGGAGGGGGAGCGAATCTCCCACATAAAATTGATCCTCCGACAGTTGCAAAAAAACTGATCAGGATGTTGTGTTTATGGACCGCTAAATTTTCAGGCACGTTCAATACTCACTACTCAAATCGTGTTCATGGTGTTCAAGAGCATCAAGTGGTATGACTTGTATGATGCGTGCCATAAAATAAGGTTTACCATTTCTTAGCGATTACCGTGAATGTAACACTTTTCAGTAAATTAAAATTGTTTTATGTACAAGTGGTGAACGTGTATCTTAATTTGTAAGGGATTTAGTCTACTCAAACGATTCGCACAACTGGTGAAATTGCATGCCATGAAAAAAAGTTTGTCTTAAAGGAACTCAGTCACGGTTTGCTCATTTTGAAAAGTTTAGCCGTCGTTTGCAATCCGTGTCAATTTTCGCCATCCTTGGCCATCCTTGTTCCTTTATACTTTATTATCATCTCTTTGATGTTTTTCTGTCTTAGTAAACTATTATTTTCAGGTTTCCTTCCATTTAAAGGAGATTTTGTACGTGGCCAAAACAAAAAAAGACAAAACACCGTGACTGAGCTCCTTTAAGACAATGTTGGCGGGCGGTCTTTCAAACCAACACACATTACATGTGCTTCCTAAGCCATACATTGATATTTCGGTGTTATACTAAAATCCAATTTTATCATTCCATTAACGTCAGCCGGATCAGGGCAACAACAGCAACAACAGCAACAAGAACTCAATGCTCTAGAATAATAAGCTTTCGTCCAACACGTGGCGCTGTGGCTTAAGTTTCAAACTAAAATGCAACCGTAAAGTACTATCACAGAAGACGTTTTCACCTTAGTAGACCTGAATAGACCTGTAAAACACCTTGTGTGCAGCACTCGAATTTTCATCTAGATTCTGAAATTCTTTCTTGGCTGTGCTTTTGCCTTAATTTCCAGGCAATGGTAGCTGGGGATTTTGAAAGTCACTGGCTCCAGGCTATGGTAATGAAGCTCAGCTTCATGGCCAAACAAGGCCATATCTCAGGTGGCTTGTGCCAGCTTCATTTTGACAGTCGCCTAGCTAGGTGACATTCAATCCTGTTTTTCCTGGTAATCGAGCCTATTTTCTCCTAAGCTTGTTACTATCGCCACTGGGATTACGAGATTGTTAATTGCGGCCCATAAAGCAGTCCAGTCACCCCACTCACCAGCCATAGTCATTCTACGGAGATAGATGTCCCGTGCTTCAAGATTGCTCTATTCACTGAAATTAGTTCCGTCCTGGTTGGCTGGGTTAGTTTGGAGTTTACTGACCGAGTCAGAGCGCAATTTTGTGGGACTGAGCAATATACTCTTTCGAGGTCAATTAGCTGGTCATTCATCTCATGGAATAGACAGTGACCATCTTGGGTTGGCAGCTAACGATATGCAAGTCCTGCATTTCCCACTTCCTACTCTTCGGTGATTCACTGTTGTCGGAAGCTTTTTTACTGGTATAAGTGTTTTTCTCAGTTAATGAAAAACAAAAAAACACGTGCGGAATATTTCTTTTAAAATGATGACACGTGTTTTTTTGGGGTGAAATTTGTATAATTTATATTTTTCACCTTCCTCTGATATAAATCCATGCCATTCCATATTTTTGGTCGAGATCATTTGCTGCTCAATATGGGGATCATTTGCG